CACAACGATTAAACGATCAAAACCTCGTGTTTTTAGCGTTTAAATGAACGATTTTTTAGTTGCAGCATTAATGCGCGTTTAAACGCTCTAAAAATAATAATTTTGGGCTAAGAACGGCGTTTCTGACGTTTTAATAATTACCATGAATGGCTCACGATTGCGGTTCCCGTTTATGCGCTTAAACGCATTTTTCAAAATTTTTGTCTGCTTGGGAAATCGTCGTTGAAATTTATTCAGTCAACATGTGATCTTCGGTGTCTTATTTTATATTTTTATTTTGAATGAATCATTGCAACACTTGTTTTGATTCGAATATTTTTACTATTTTCTCTTGAATAGGTTGGGAAAAACAAAAACAATTATGAACTACTATATAAAGAATGTATTTTTGTAGTTATATTAAGAAGTTTTGTAGTAGATCAAGTTTCTCAAAGTACTTCTAAGTACGTCAAAGTTACTTAAAGTACGCTAAAGTCACTTGAAGTATGATAAAGTTACTCCAAGTACGTTAAAGTTACTTGAAATAGCTCCAAGTACGTTAAAGTTACTTGAAGTAGCTCCAAGGACGCGAAAAATACTTGAAAGTTCCTCTAAAGTACTTGAAAAGTAGTTTAAAGTACTTGAAGGTAGCGAAAAAGTACTTGAAAGTACCGAAAAGTAACTTGAAGTACAAAAGTCCGCTGTTCCCCCCTTGGATTACGGAGACAAAATTAGTATGGGTTTCCTTGGACCTTTGCGAGCAGGTCACCTACTCTTTCGTCAGTATACAGAAAAAGTTCATAGACTGTTTGATGAGAGATACAAGTGCTCAAAAAATATCACATATGATGTATTTGGGTTGAGTGAGATGGGAGGCGGCATAACGATACCAACATTTCATCAACTTATGAAATTGGATTTAACAAATCCAATCATCTATTGTGGTCGTTCAACTGTTATTCAATTTCTAAATCACTGTGATTCATTGGCACAACTGAATTCGTCTAAGAACTTATTGACGAAAATGAATCTGACAGGGCCGCCACTTCTTTACTATCACAACAGTGGAGTATTGCACAAAGTGGAAAAAGAATATCCAACGGAAAAGAGTCTTTTCAAATCTAATACAGCACTGAGACTTCTATTTCGTATTGCATTAGAAAATTGTACACAAATACCTACCTGTGAAGAGTTACAGACAGAACTGACTTAGATGGAATTTGTTAAAGTCGTGCGATAAACTTTTCAAGTAGTTCTATCAATAGTAAAATTATCTCTAAATATTGCATAGAATTGAGAATATTTCATTTTCCATTCTAGATACAGGAATTTTCTAGAGGAATTTTCGAAAACTTCTTTGAAGCACAATCAAAATAATCCTATTAGCAACCCACGAAGGTCGAGGAATAACTTGGACCTCGACAAAACCGAAGTTTCTGTAGCTGTAGAATGTGTTTCCGCACAAACAGAGAAAAACAGATCTGGCGCAGATTCGAATATTCTCCTTGGTACTATTACCGTTTTCCTATGTTGATATTAAGAGACTGACGATCAGGAAAAAGATGCAGCTGTTACAAAATTACATTAAATATTCATCCAGACAGGATGGGTGTGGGTGTGCTCCTCATGTTTAGCAATCGACACCAACATCCGCAAACTGTTGACTAGATAGCTGAGGATGAAGGAAACACACTCAGCGTTCTAGTACCACAACAGTACCACTCATGCCCATACCTCTCATTATCTAATTTGTTGTAACACATACATTTTTTATAAGAAACAAAGCTAAAACTTTAGAATATAAAATCAGTTCCAACCAGAATCAAGATTTGATTTTTTAATACTCGCCAAAGGTGTACTCTGCCAGCTTTTAAATCAAGTCACATGTGAATTTATCTTGAATATGTACAAAGACAGTTTCCAGTAGTTTCTTTTAATACGACGGCTAATTATTTCTGTTTGTTTTTGGTTCTCATATTCATTTTCGGTTAGCGATACATTATATCACTTGTGATACACTTTTTCGGTGCTCACTTTTTTCATATAATTGCTACTCATAGCTGAAAAACAAAACTTACCTTAGTTTTAACAAGATTGATGCATTTTTAATGGAAGTTATGTAGTTGTATTCCAATAAAAGTCTTTATAACTGTAAATTTTCATGATTCGTTTTGAAAAATTTTCATACTGAAAATCATTGTGTTCCAAGCCTTTGACATTAGATTAGAAAAAATTCATTACTAACCATGGAACTGCTTGTCATGTCAGTTGATTTAATTAACTATATTCGGGTCAAATTTTCACTCTCAACGAGAAACTACCAAGTTAAAAAAATGACTTGCCGATGACAACCCTGAATCGAGTTATTCAATTTTTAAGGTATTGACTATTTAGGTAAAGAAGCCCTAGTCCAACGAAGCCACGAACGATTTTCACAGAAGTTGCTCAATCAAGGTCACCAGATTTCCTTCAATTTAATGTATATTGTAGAACAAATGGTTTTAAAAATTTTGAAGCAAATGGTTTGAAAAAATATTCTTCCGTTGTCGAGATATTTAAATTTTTCGGAGGGCACCATTGCTAGTAAATATATTTTTGGGATTTTTTGTGACATTCATATCGCACCGAAAAGTACATCGATTGGCTTGAAATTATTACTGTGCATATGTCTCAAACTGATGTACTTGCCATACAAAAATAAGTTCAAACAAGTGAACTCTTGATGAGTTGATCGTACTAGCACCTACACAAGAAAATCGTCATTTTTTAGATGTTTTTCAATAAGACTATTCGGGACATTCAACAAGATCCCTGGTTAATTCTTGCATATATTTATAGTGGTCAGTATGTCCTTTAAAACCACATGAGCCCTACTTCTATTGAGCACATATTTCAGAAAGTCAAATCCTGTCAAAATCGTGACTTTGTGGAGGATCTTCAGAACAATAGAAACTATCTAGGAAGTTGAGTGTTTTTTATAACCGTAGATACTCAATGAGATCTCTCTATTTCGAAAATTTCATTTCCCCAAAATGGTCCGCTCATGTGATATGCTGATTTACAAAATACCGAAAAATGACTATATTATTGTGTAGCTGCTAGTAAGATCAACTAATCATGAGTTCACTTATTTGAACTTATTTTCGTATAATAAGTAGATCAACTTGAGATGTATGTACAGCGAAAATTTCAAGCCCAATCGATATGTCTTGGTAAGATATGAATGTCACAAAAAATTATAAAAAAAATATTTTTTAGCAATAGTGTCCTCCGAAAGATGTAAATGTCGTGACAACAGAAGAATATTTTTTTCAAATGGTTTGCTGGAAGATTCTTAAAACTATTCCCTCTACAGCATATATTAAGTTGAATAGAATCCAATGACCTCGATTGAGCAACTTCTGTGAGAATTGTTCGTGACTTCTTTGGACTAGCTCTTGTATATTTAAATATTCAATGCTTTAAAAATTGAATGACTCAATTCAGAGTCGCCATCAGCAGATCATATTTTTAATTTGCTAGTTTCTTGTTGAGAGTGAAAATTTGACGTGAATATAGTTAATTAAGTCAACTGGCATGGCAAACAGTTCCATTGCTGGTATGAACTAGCAGTGGAGATGTTTGTGTTGCCAGTTAATAAGATTAGACATCCTCCGATGAAATCAAATGTCTCATCGCCAAACTAAGGTATTCAAAATATGAGATACTGATGGTGTGCACGAACTGAGATATTCGAATCTTAAGGTATTCACAATGGATTTAAGGGATCCACGATGCACAATTTCAGCAGAATTTAGGTTTTCCTTTCTTGGGATGATTTGATAAACGTCGTCGAGTTGCATAAGAAACTGTGTGTTTCTAGCATGAAATAAAAATAATTTTAGAAAAATCAAAGATTTGGGTAGATTCAATCCTGAACTTGAAATTGATCGTACCTTGAAGATTTCGTAAAATTGCTTTTTTACTTTCAAAATACATTTTCTTATGCAACTCGAAGAGCTCTATCAAGTTATCACAAGAAATTCTGCTGTAACTATGAATTGGAGGTAGCTTACACTTTGAATACTTCGGTCCGTGCATGTCGTCAGTTACTCACATTTTGAATTTTTTTAGTTTGGCGGTAGAACATTTAATTTGACCCAAATATGTCTAATCTTATTAACACTCACACCCTATTGGTGTGGGTGGCGTTCGGTCTTTTTTTCGACTCCTATTCACACCTCACATCCACAGCCATTTTTTGATTGACAATCGTGAATTGGCATTATTGTTTCTTTTTACGATCTTGTCCAACTGAATTTGATTAGGCTGAATTATGCTTTAAGTTGTGTGAGACGGGAAAAACGCATTTGTGGCACATTCGACAGCAGTAAAACTTAACGTTGTACGAAGGCCTTGTATAGTAATGTTTTGGTCTCTATTTTATTCCGAAGAGTTACTTTGACATGACGCATAATTATCGTTACAATAAATAATGAAAAAACGTTAGTAGAGAAAGAATCGACTCAAAAGAGGTAAAGTAACCACATATCACTTACGATTATGTGAACCCTTCCTTTACGTCATTATGAATCACGATACGCCATGACAATCTCTAAAAGCTGCAACCAATTCTATATTTTTTTCACAGGAAAAGCGTGAATTTTTTTATTAAAGGTTTTTTTGTGGTAACTGTGTGATATATGAAAGTTTGTTCAATAAATACTGAGAGCACATATGTAAATTTATATGCTATCGACGAATTTGAAATGCAAAAGCGATACTGGTGAAGAATAAAATTCGAAACAAGTCAAAAGTGGGTAGTTCTATACATTTTCGCTGCACTATTTTTTTCACGATTATTAACCGTAAACACTATTTTACGTGTGATATAGTTGTGGAATCACCAAATCGGATCATAGAATCATAGTTGTTTGATGTCTGTGCCAGCATCGACAAAAACGAACTACATAAGAACTAGCTTATGGATAATAGGTAGTATCCTAAGCTCAGTTGGATTAATTCTAGTGAATAAAGTAATAATGGGACCTCCATATAATTTCGGTTACGTGTTCACTTTAACATCAATCCACTTTCTTGTCACAGCATTGGAAATGGAAGCCATGGCTTTAGCTGGAATGTTTAATCGTAGTTGGCTGCCGTGGAGACCATCGGCAATAATGTCAGTTTTTTGTACATTATCAGTAGGTCTAATGAATTTAAGTCTTAAACTTAATAGCGTTGGCTTCTACCAGTTGTGCAAACTCCTAAGCATCCCATTATTAGTTTTTATACAGCGAATAGTTTACAAGAAGCACACATCAATTTCAATAAACCTATCGCTAGCTGTGATTATCATTGGAATGTTGTTTGCAACAGTAACTGATGTTAGTTTGAACATAAAGGGTAGTTGTGTTGGCTTGGCTGCTGTTATGGTCACAACTCAGTTTCAAATATGGCAAGGTATGAAACAACATGAACATAACTTGAATCCTATGCAAATAAACTATGCTCAAGCTTTGCCTACATTTTGTGTCTGCACTATTTCAGCTCTGTTAATCGAATTTAATGACTTGTACGCAAACAATAGTATTTTAACAGATCATTGGTCTATAGTTCGTGGGAAATGGATTGCTTTCAGCGCCATACTGGCTGGTTGTGTGAATTTATGTTCTTATGGATTGATCGGAAACACTTCACCAATAACCTATCAAGTTGTAGGCCATGTAAAAACTGTTTTGATATTGATTGGTGGGTATCATCTCTCTCAGCAGCAAACATCGCTGAATTGGATCAACCTTCTAGGGATTACAATCTGTTTGGGGGGAGCCATGCTATACGGCTACCTTCGTCACACTGAAAGTACTGGTGTCAACTTATGTAAAGAGATTAAAACTACAAATGTTATGCAATATTTGGGTTGCCCGTGGAATGAACAAATAACATCTGAAGAACATGAACGACAAGGCACCGATTCAAATGATTTGGAAGAGGACCATCTTTAAACACTTCGAGTTTGTCGAATTATCCATTGTTCCATTATCCAAAAAGACAATCAAGGCAAATAATTATCTATTAAAATGAGGTTTATCTGGTTGTTGGTTAGAAGAATACTTAGAGTCACAGTCTTATTCAATAAAAATCACATCCACAGTCACGTTCCTACCCAGGCTGTCAGAGCATAGGACATTCACATGTTTTAATATGTCAACAATTTAAAATTCTTTTTGACACAAAACTCGGATAAAATACCATTAAATATTTGTTACTGATTTATTCATAGTATATTGCTCTCAGTAGTGTTTGATTTTTTTAATGCAGTTCACTCGCAACTGAAAACTCATGTCAATCGTGACAAAGCACTTGGGAAAGAGTCTTGTCTCCTTTAGGTGTAATTCTCGTATGTAAATACTAGGACATATTTCAAATGCACCTGTTTAACGAAAAGGTCTGATAATTGGCACCTACTCGTTTCTCATTCAGCAACGCTCATCGCTTTCATAAATCTAACATTTTATTCAACTTGAGACGGCTATATTTCAAACCACTTGGCACAGTTATTTTGATCCTTCCCTGTTGGATGCTCCCATTTGGCAATATTGAGGCAATATTTTGCGAAGAGTTGACTTGTAGTGGTGATATATACGTATATAATGTTTTGATAATCTGATAATTACTATAAGACATTTCAATATTTATTCATGATTCATATCATAAGAAAAAAAAATATCTTCTCACTGATAAGATGACTGGATTCACCTGAAACGTCCCAAAAGAACATTTCAATGGTAAAACTAATTTTTCTGTACGTCTAAGCACTCAATGTCTGAGGCAAATAGTGATTTTTTACCTCGGTAGAGTTGTTGTATATTGCATCACTAAGATGGATTATTTAGTGTACCTGAATAATAAAAAATAGTGACGTTACTATTTGGCAACACGGGACTGTGAACGAACCGAGATTTCTAAAATCGTATTTCGCCTGCCATTGTCAAAATAAGGTGCTCTACTGCATTCTCGGGACAATATATCTATCATTGGGTAAGAAGAATATAAAATTTCTTGAAAGCTTTTATTATCGGAAAAAGTGTGGCTATTCTGCGTAAACTTGGGTTCTTCAGTTGAAAGAAAAAAATTAGACAAGATCTATTGTCTTTGTAGAGGAGTTCTTTATCTAGTCAGCAACATTTTGTCGAAACAATGTGAACAGATCGCCTTTTGATATGCCCTAATGTTTTCTTTAGTGAGTCTGAATAACTAAATGAAGTATACTACCGTCATCTATATGAAAGTTAGTAACGTCATCTATCACATAATACCATCATTGATGAAGAATCTACTTTTTGTGTGTATCGCTCTGCTTTTTCTTGTGAACTGCTATAAATAGAAGATACAATCTCTATATAGTGATCATTTGTCAAAGTCTAAGCTCATCTAAAGTTTTGAATTTCCGGTTTTATCTGTCATTACAAATAGTAGAAGTAATATGATGAGTTTGATGTTTCTAGATATGAGAAGGGCGACTGCTATTCCTTATTAACGAGTTTTTAGTAATAGCTGCTAAAACAGTTTCTAAGAGGAATACTATTGTACCAAATGGATTGAATAGAGAGGAGATTGACTCATGTGAGTCAGAAAACAGAATGAGTAAAGTCACATGTACTTTACGAGATGTATTGATAATTGTTATGTTCGATAAGCAATCGATAACACTTTTGAGCGATCAATCAAATTTATTTTGTTCAAATAGATTCGAAAAAAGCCAGTTAGTTTTCTTGAAACTGAAATGAAATTCTTCATCAGTATATTGATAATGACTGGTATATATTCTTTTCCGGAACAACATCTTTTTTGAAGAAGCACTACTCCTATTGAATCCATATCTTCAATTTTGAGTCGGAAGCGATTTTTAGAAATCAAGAAAAAAGTTTACATGTTGTTGATGATTCACGTCAACCAAATAGTAATGATCCAAATTTTGATCGAGCATATAAAGTTTGTCCATTATTAAATATTGTAAAAGAAAATTTCAAAGAAATTATAAAAGAAGTAAGATTGAGTGTGAATGAACAAATAATACTTTTTAGAGGAAAAAGCTTAATGAAGGAACATATGCTAAATCAAAGTAAATCATTAGGGTTACAAAATGTTCCTTCTAGCCGGTGGCGAAACTGAAAGGTTTTATGACACATAACGATTTGATTACAAGTGAAATTCAAAAAGCTGGATATTTATGCTGGCGGAATGGTAAGACCTAATCGATTACTTGATTTGACTATGAAAAATGCCAAAGATTTATGAAGTAAAGGCCGAGGAACCATCAATCGTCGTGTCGCTGAGGTTGATGGTATTGAAATATGTTCAATAAATTGATATCATAGTAATATCATTAACTGTCGTTCAACATTGGATGGTTGTCATTCAATCGATTTAGTCCAGTGATAGTGTTCCAAAGAAAAGAAACATGCACAAAACACACGAACGAATTCTACAAATGCTTATAGCCAACACATGGGTGGGATCAATTTTGTCGGCATGTTGATTTCACTATATTGTATTAAAAGTTCATTCCCAATAGTATCATATTAATATTATTGTTCATCTTATTACTCTCTCGGCAGTTCGATGCTTAGCTTTTGTGTTGCCGCTAATGTACACAATTTCAAGTTCCAAAAAAAGACTACAATGTCTTTATTAGTATTTCGTATTAGTGTTGCTAAATCTTTACTCAAATCTAGTCCACCACCAACTGCAATAAAACGTAGTCGTCCATCTCTTCAATCCATAACAAATATATATAATACAGCACCAACAGCAAGAATTGTACCAAGTCCACTTCCATCAACCAGTGCTCGACTTGCTAAGTTTAATTCTAGGCTTGTTCAAACAACATAGGGCCGCTGTCAAAATCCTGACCGTATTGGCTACAAAAGTATATTCTACTCAAAATGTCCACCTCGTCTATGCCTGAATGACAAAAAACAGTTGTTTCGACGACTATCACCATTATCAAGATACTTTCTATAGAAATGATTGTTAATCCTTGGTGTCATTGTGATATGAGCGTGGGTGTAGATATGGGTCTTTGTTTCATCCTTATTCACACATGCACGTACAATCACATCTACACCCTTTGTTTAAATAGACTCTAAAAAACCTAAAGAAGTACCTCGATTCAACATTAAAATTAATACAATGCTAACTGTAATATGTAGTATTGACTTAGCTTATAAGTGGTGCGGCATACTCTTTATTCTTAAGAAGCATTCTCGATGAGTAGCCAGCATTATGAGCATTCGTTAATGCTCATTCTCATTCTGATGAGGGAGAACTAGACATAAACGACCGTTCATGGTGAAGTACGACACAAAACGATGAACGTTTGTTAAACTTTTACAACTGTCGTATATAATGGCTTATGATGTTGTCCAACCGTGGTTTACAATTGTTGTATTTTTACAGTAGCCGTAAACAATCAGGGTTCATGCTAGTCGTTTACGATGGACGTAATACATCGTTTATCGTCGCTGTATACAGCCACCGTAAGCAGCTACCATTTTTCGCCGTATATCACTGCGATATGACGGTTTACGGTCGGCCATCATTGATCTGGGCAAGTATGTCTAAATATATACAGGTTTACGTAATTTTTAACAAAAATATTTTATCTTTGTGTAATTTAGATGAACATTCATCTAGAAGAGGCACTTGAACTGGCTGATAATTGGCAGCAAATCCAAATTAAAAAATCGAAAAGTCGTGCTTTATCATATATATATATCATTTAACTAAATCATTTTAAAGAAATAATACATGTGATAATGCTTCAATATCTGATTGTTTTTGAACGTTGCGTCTCTCGGCGTATTTCATTTTACTTATACTTATATGACCGTTTGAGAAAAAATTGGACTGCTATCTGTAATGAATGTATATTCTTTTTAGAATCAATGTGTTGCACATATTGTTTAGCTGAAGAACATTACAACAACTTCTATGGAAAACTTGTACGTTCAAAACTAGTTAGTTTTCTTGCAGATCAACGTGAACAAGATCGTAAAAAAACAGCTAGCCACATTATCCACGGCCTCGTCGACTACTTATTTATCAACTTTCAACTATAGTAATTGAACAGACAAAATATATGGTGAGAATTTCATGTTTTTGTTTTATTTTTGTAATGATATTGATGTATAAAGAACAAACACTTATGGATGTCTCTTGCTTAATTATATTTCATTTTGTATCTTATTCTTGCTTCTTGTATGTACGTTATTTGCAAGTGAAGTATTATTTGCTATTATAAAAGCTGATGAATTATGAGAAAATGCACCATTCATCAAGATATCAATGACAGATGGCAAAGTCACATGGACTCCAAATAATATCCTGGATTCTAATGAAAACACGGCACAGTCCTATCGAGCTTTGAGTGTATGCGATGCTTTTCCACTATGGGATTCGACGTCTAATAACTTCCTGTCGAATTCATCAGGGTATCGAATCTGATCTCACGAGATCCGGCTCTCCAACGATTCGTCGTGGGGTAGTAATATCACTGCAAATGGTCATATGGAACCATTTCGAGAGAATAAAAAAAATCCAAGATTCATCGTTGCAATCATTTTGAACAGTCGTACACGACCGTTTGGGCTACCGTGAGCAACCATGAAAGAAGTTACAATATTTTTTTCTATTACAACTCAATCGTTTGGACCGAAAACCACCTAGTTTTAAGGTTTCTTAAAAAAATCCATGTTTCTCCATTAGAATTATCTAATATAAAGATATAGCATATCAAAAGGTTTTAAAATGCCTTTTTCTATTATAATTTAATGATTTGAATTCAAAAATCGCCTAACTTGGAGAGTTCTCAAAAAGAAACCCTTGAAAGACCTTGACCGACCTTCTGTGGGAAAAAGTTCATTTTTTCTGGCATGAAATTATCTAATAGAAAGGTATCGCTTACGAAAAAGCTTTGGAATCATTTTTTTCTACTATAATGCGATCGTTTGGATTGAAAAATCACCTAGTTTTGAAGTTTCTCGAAAACAATCCTTAAAAGATCTTTCAGACGTTTTCCCAAAAACATCGGTTTTTATGATATGAAATCACATAAGATAAAGGCATACGTGACTGAAAGGCTCTACAATGTATTTTGCTATAATTGTCCATTCATTTGTATTCAAAAGAACCTAATTTTGAGGCTTCTCAATGAAAACCCTACAAGTTTCTTACAGGTTTTTTTCGAACAAATCAAATTTTCTCCAAGAGCCACCTAACATAAAAGTGCGGCTTACAAAAAGCGTTTACTATGGCTTCTTCTTGTATAACACCAGCAGTTGAAACGAAAATCATCTACTGCTTAGGTCTCTCCAGAAAGACTTTAAACGGCCTTGATACATCTGTTCCAATAAAAGCATTTTTCTAGAATGCAATCATCTAATGTAAAGATGTCGCTTGGAAAAGGCTTTGCAATGTCTTTTAAAGACCTCGCTCGACAAAAAACATTCTTCTGGAATGGACTCCTGTAATATAAAGGTGTAGCTTTCGAAAAGGCTCTCCAATGCCTTTCACTAGTATAATGTATTCATTTGGGTACGAAACCAGCTGATTTCGAGATCTCTTAAAAAATCGTCTTTGAAAACATTTCTTTCAAAAACTTTACGATGAGAAAAATAATCGCTTGAAATAAGGTTGATATTAGTAACAATGATTATCAACGACTTATTCTATTGGAATGCAATCATTTGAACTGAAAACAGCAATATTTGAAGTTTTTCGAAAAGGAAGCATAAGAAAGACCGTGTTCCGAAAAACTAGACTATTTCAACGAATATTCACCTAAAACTAAGGTGACGATCGTAAGAAGGCTTCAAAATATGTTTCGCTTTTAAAATACAATCGATCCGCTAAGAAATCCGCTTTTTTTGACGTGTTCGAAAGACGGTTTTATCAGCTCTGTAAAAACTCTGAAAAGAAGTTTTGCTCGATTTGTTCTCGTAAAACGCATACTTTGCATTCGGATCTTAAGATTTCAAGAACCTAACCATGAGTTACTGCTTATGTTTTAAAAGAGTGATTTAAAATGCCTTGAAATGCTAGATTTGAACAACGGTCTACCTGCACAAATGTAAACTAGGAAGTGCAAATTATTTGACCCTACAATATGACCTCTTACTGTTCACAGCTGACAAAAACATAAACGCTGCTGTCCATCTATGATTGATAATTTTTGGAGCCTTTGATTTTAACTTACTCGTATCTCAATCAGCATGCAAATGAACTGAATTATTGAGTGATGGTTATGTATATAGGCTTCAGTGAGTCTGGATTTGGATAGTCTGACCATTATACTTGACGTTGTATTACACTACTGGATGGACTTCACCATCAAGATGAGGTGGGATACTGAAAACATCCACAACCACATCCATATCCATTACCTGGAATGCTAGAGTTGTCACTTGGAATTGTACCGGTGTACCATGCTATGCTTTGCTGCAACAACCTGGGTTCTGTACATTTGGTAGTATCCAAAATAACGCTAAATTATTAGAAACATGCCGACATTAAATAAAGCTACAAATAATAATCTGAAAACGTAAGTTGTCATAGCTAATGATCATGCAAAAGCAGCAGCCATGGCATTGTTAGATGCTAACTCTTAATCTTAAGGGGCATCCCTTAACGTTAACGACGAGCACAGTGAGATACAATAGGAAAGGATGACATTTTATTAAACATTTTATATTTGACATATACTATGCCCTACGATATTATCCAAGCATCGTTTAAAGTCGTCGCATTGTTATGGTAGCCATAACAATGAGGGTTAGTGTTAATAGTTTCAGATGACTGTCAAAACTTCTAAAGCATCGTTTACCACTCCTGTAAACGGTTATCACAAACAGCAGACGTACAGGATGTCTTCCAGCATTTCATCTAAGCAGCATATACAATTGTGATGTTGCTACACTGGTCGTTAACGACGACTTTTTAAGGCCATCGTTCACGATGGCTGTAAGGTGCTGTGAATCATCATTTATAATCACTCTAAATGACTATTGCAAAAACAGTCGGCGTTATCTGCTGCGATAAGTTGGTGTACGATCGTGTGCAACTGAGCATGATTGACCTGAGACCAGGGTTGCCAGATCTTTCAAAATGACAGGAAACACTTTGAATATTGACATTTTTCCGAATATTTTCCGACTTTTCAAAGTTTTCCGATATGTAATATTTTTCTAGATTCGAGCTTTTATAAGTTTTATAATAAGTTTTATTTTAATTTTTGTCGGCAATTGATGCATCATCAGTGTTCTATTGAAATGATTAAATAGGACAGACTTTTAAGATCACTAAAAGTACACGCTCTCATGAATCTAAAGCCTTTCCGACCTGAACGAGACACCTTGTATCGTGAAAAAAGCCATTTGAATAATCTATTTGTTCATTATGAACTGAATTCTAAGTTTCAGAAGATGCGCTTTTCCACATGATAATTCTCACATGTTAAACTGAATTAGATTCAGTCATGAATGATGAATTTCAAGGTTCGAATGTTAATATAATTGAAACTAAAGAAGAGAAACAAAACTATGTCAGTAACAGCCTTCACGTAAAATGATGATAGAAGAAATCATATTTAAAAAAATGGCGATATGTGCAATGAAATGTCAAAAAAAGCCTTTCGAATTTTTTCCGAAATCTTATGAAAAAAATTTCGATTTTTCCGATTTCTTTATTGTAAAATTTCTAGTTACAACTTTTCAATATAGCAATCCTATCTGAGAAGGATTCTATGACGCATTTTGTCCTTATAAACTAGTTTGATGTATATTTCGTCACCAAAATAGTCTTTGACGTTAATGAAAAGCTTTTAATTTGCGAAA